ACCCGTCAAGGTCGGAACAATGTCAGGATACCGCGCTGCACTCCGGTGGTACTACAAGCGGGAAGACGTTGCGATGCCAGTGGAGTACTCAAAACGTTATTCACAGGTCTATTAATATGCATCATCAACGTCTGCACTCATCACACCACGATTGTAGGAATGCACCGTCTAACTGCAACTGACGAGCAGACGTCAAACCTGAAGGACTCTGGCAACACGGCCGCTTGGATTTAGCATGTATGAGGCACTTTGCCAAGAGTCCCTCCGAACTTCCGACAGCGGTTTTGTACGCCTGTTCCTTGTGATCTCTTGGAACTTGATGGCGCACTCTAAATCGACTGAGACGATTCACATTGATCACATTTCATTTGAAGAAGATGCAATTGGTGTCACGTAATTTAAGTCTAAGACCGACCAGACCGGATCGAAGCGCCGAGACCCTGGACATGTCTACGCAAATCCATCATCACCGGCAATTTGCGCGTTCTTTGCTCTGGGTATGTATTTTGTTTGCATTTCTACTTTGGCGAATGGACCGCTCTTCCCTGGCGCCAACCAACGCGATCGTTTTGGAAAGGCCTTGAAAACCTTGGTCAACGCAGTGTTGGGTGAAGCACCAAGTGGAACAGTTGGAACGCACTCAATTCGGAAAGGAGCGGCGACATTTGTATGCTCTGGGAGCACAAGCGGACCATCGGTTATCAGTGTGTGCCTACGGTGCGGATGGCCGTTGGGAAACGTGGTAGAATGGTACATGCATTACGAAAAGTCTGGCGACCAGTTTGTTGGCCGCGTAGTTGCAGGCCTCCCGCTCAACAGCGCCGACTTTGCCGTGCTGCCTCCCCACTTTGCCACCGCAGGCAATCTTGTTGTCAGAAGCGCACTCCGTTGCATGTTTCCTGGTCTGTCGAAGAACGTGTAACTCTTTGGGGTTCTGAAGCTCGGTTTGGCGTCCATCGTTCACCATGCCGACTTCCTCCGTACGACCCTTCCGTCCAGCCACCCAGTCCTCCACACGGCGATCTTTCGAGACAACTTCATGATTTCAAACCTCAAGGCACTTGTCCGCACCACGTCAAAGGCAATGAAGCCAACTGGCCTGCCCCCGTACGTTGAGATTTAGCTGCAAGCCCAACAAGAATCATTGGAAGCCGTCGCGAGCAAAGTGCTGTCGGGAGTCCAGAAGATTCTGGACGAAAAGGAGCTGGCGACAGGAACAGTGACACCAGCGTACATATACAAGATCTTTTCGTCCATTTTGGATCGACTTCCAATGGGCTCCTCCACTCCACCATGCGTGGAACGCCATCAGCACCAACCACGACTGCACATGCTCTACTCTTGGGGTGGTCGTCTGCACAAGCTTCCGAAAACGTTCGTATTTCCAAGCGTCGACACGGCTTGGTCTCTAAGGCGGCCTGGCAAGGACAGTGAGATCCCATACCGTACAATTGATACAAACAAACACGCTGCCTTGGCCGGGCCGACAATTCCGCGCGACGCTGGCCGAATCGCTGCTTGCCGTCAATGAACGAAATGCTCGCCGTCGTCCGACAAGGCGGACTCCGAAGTTTGGGGCCGCCCGACCTTTCCCGCCTTTGATATCGTTCGCCAACTGCACCACCAA